CACTGGTTTATAAAAATATCCATTCGTCAAAGCAAATAGGAAAGAGACTTACGTAGCTTCTTCCCACCTGGCCTTCGAGCGTATGTTGCCAGTTTTCCACCAAAAATAACGATATTTTTTTATATCATCAATATCCTCGATATTAGAATAGATTCCCATATAAAGTTGCCATATTTATTATATTGTAGATACTGTATATTTAGACGGAGAAAAAAATAATGCGATCGGTCATAAATATATGATGCAGTAGCTCATGTTACTTTATGAGTATGCTTTGCAATACTACATATAAAAAAAGTGCCAAACTTCGAGACTGTGACTAAGCTATCAAAGGTCGAGTTACATTTAACCTAAATTAAAGTTTGTCTAGTATTTAATGCACGTATTTTCAAACTTAAATTTGGAATCGATGGTGCAGCAAACGTTTTTGTTCGATGGATATACTTTATTTTAGTAACATGACATGATTTTCATACAATAAAGCTATTTCTTAAGTGTCCGTAATACAGTATATTACTATATACTCTATATTAACTACTGTATTAAACATCCCTCCGAAATTCTTAATGTAGCAAACAACATGAATTAGAAATAACTTAATTACTGTAATATGAAATATAAAGCAAGTACCTAATAAGTAATTGATATTGCCGAATCTTATTCACTGTCATCACGTTATTCAGCACAGACGTTAGTCATTTCGGGTGTCATTTTAATTTTAACGACCCATTGTTCCACATTATTGAGGATAGCAGACTTACGTTTAACTGCCTGAAAGGCCTCAAGATCGTTTCCAATTTTTTTCTTGGGCGTTACATAACTTTGGGACTAAAGGTATCATATATATCATCCGGCACAATAAAACATAAAAAAATTTTTGCATTCGGATTCTTCCTATATGCCAGCATATTTTTAACTATGTTGATCAGTTCACCTTGCTTCACCGGGTGTTTTGGAGACACAGTAATTTGAAAGATACAGTTCGGAGTAAGAATTAAATCTACCGCACTAAAATTTCTTATGGTTGGTTTGATAATTATGCTTTCCTGGTTATACTCTGTGAGCTGACTTGCATATCGAATATACTGTGTAGTTGGTTTTATTGATATAGTTAATCTATCGTTAATGACTGGATCATTCTAATAATGAAAAAGGTCATTGTTAATAGTTTCTCAATAATTATCGAAAATTATTATGCAAGATTTTACCAAGTCTCCTCGATTCAAACGTTTGACCACCATGCTTAAAGAGGTGAAGTACACGTGATTCAAAAATAATCCCCCTTGGTGATAAAATGGTCATCGGGATAATAAATTTTTAGAAATAGATTGTCCCCCTCCAGTTTTTAACTTAATTATTTATAACTAAAAAAACTAGTTATGTAATAATACACACATAAGCAAAAATTTAAATTATAAAAGTTTATTTATTATCTTTTTTTTTAAAAAAACAAGATTTATTTATATTAATCATCATGATAATGATGTGTTTTAATAATATTGAACTATATATATATTGAAATTTTTTATTTTAATTTACTATTGCAAAAGCCAAAGTATACATAGTGATAATTTAAATAAGATTTTTTTTTACATTTTAATTAATTTTCAATTTTACAATAAATTTTAGATGAACCTTATTAAGAAAAATGTTTTTTTTTTGCTTTTTTAAATTATGAATAAATAATTGTTTTATGATTAAATAAATAGCAATAAATTTTTTGATATTTATATAATTGAAGAAAAAAATAGAATAAACCTTTAGTTTATAATTTTGACAACATATAAATAATAATAGTAAAAGTATTGTTTTTTAAAATGAATAAATAAGGTAAAGTAGACATTAAAATTGTGTATATATTTTAGATACTACTATAATAAGAAAATACTGATTTTTTTAAAAAAAAAGAACAAACATATTCATGTAAAATAATTTATATTTTTTTCAAAGATACGTTGATATGTGTATTTTCATGTGTCCACGTGAAGTGAGAATTTTTATTCATCATTCCAAACCAAGATTTAAATTTTGTCGTTAATTTGTTGATTTCTTTTTTTAATATACGACTACGGTGTTAGTATGATTACTTTTGTTGCACTAAAGTAGTATTATACATGCGGCTACACAACATTACCTGATTACAGTACATTTTTTTAACAAAATTGAATCAAAACTCTGTCGAAGTGTTGAAGCAAACAAAATGAGAAAATAAGCACAAATAGAGCAATCTTTTATGAACAGAAAAATCAATGAATGTTTGAAAAAGTATCTATTGTAACGGTGGGAAACGGTGAGCCGGTCGCTTGCACGCAGGTTTTATCGCGGCACGTCACACCACAGCTAAGTATGCTCACTTTGCACTATTTAGCTATATGGTTCGTGTCGTCACTAACACTTCTTTCTTCTTGTCTTGTAGGCGAAAGATCACCGAGATCACGGGCGAAACGAAAATGTAACACTGGAAAATAGAACACACGGGGGTTTATCATACAGATAAAGGTTTCAATCGTTAAATGAGCACAGTTGCTGCCTTTATTTATTACGAAATATGGGTATATTATTTATACATGTTATCATTATCTTCTTTATCCTAATTATCCCGATTATCCTCTTTATCTCACCGGTTTATATCGCGATACCCGATATAGCATCGCGTGACCAATCACCCCTTATTTCTATGACAAATAAATAATCACCCAAATTTTATTTACGGTCTCTGTTAATTCTTGATGAAAAATATCGGGCTTTCCAACAGTGAAAACAAGCAGTTAGACTTCACGGAGAAAGTAACAAATTTTTTATTTACTATATTCGAATAAAAAAAATTACAGTATAAGGAGGAAGTGGCTAGTCATTTTAAGTGGACGAAAGGAATGATGAGTTTTTTGTTTGGATAAACATATCCATGCATCTTTTTTTGTGATATCGTCGTCTATTTACATCTAATATAAAGGATGTTTCGCAGTCTTTAGATTAAATTTTCGTTAAACTTTTAAGACGGTTCTTAGTCAGCGAGGAAAAAAATCATAGACTCACATTTTTTCATTTGGGATGAGCATAGCCATGCATCTTTTTTTTCGTGACGTCGTCTATTTACATCCAACGTAAAGGATGTTTTGCAGTCTTTATATCGGCAGTACACTAGAAAAAAAAACCAAATTTACGTTAAACTTTTAAGACGGCTCTTAATCGGTGAGGGAAAAAATCATAGACTCACGTTTTTCACCGGAATGAGATCGTATGTGGTTTTTAAACTGACTCGGATAATCGAATAATTTTCTGCATTGAAAACATATGCGCTTATGAACGAATTTACGAATATTTGGCATATTTAAGACTTCTTTGTCAATTAAACGGACAGAAGTAAGTTTGTTACTAGCATCAATACGATAAACTACATAATATTGATGAATAAAATTTAACAAATTTAAGTTTCTTTCAGTAATGTGACCCGTATTTTCGGCTGCGCCCAGTGAGCTCAAGCCTTCTCCAATGATGTGACTCGTATATTCTGCCACACCCAACGAGCTCAAGCCTTCTCCAACGATGTGACTCGTATATTCTGCTACACTCAACGAGCTCATGCTTTCTCCAGTGATGTGACCCGTGTTTTCGGCTGCGCCCAGCGAGCTCAAGCTTTCTCCAATGATGTGCCCCGTGTTTTTGTCTACATCCAACGAGTTCAAGCTTTCCCCAATGATGTGACTCACGTTTTCGTCGATAAAATCTAATGAATACAAGCCTTGTTCGACAACATAACCCGTGTCGTCAACGAAGCTTGACGAGTTCAGACCTCTTACATTAATATAATTCGAGTTTTTGACAAAGTTTGGCAAGTTTAAACTTCCTTCATTGAATTGACTTGTATTTTCGACAAGACTTGACAACCTAAAGCCTCTTCCAGCGATATATCTCATGTTTTCAGTGTCTATTAAGTTCAAACTTCTTTCGGTGATATATCCCTTAATAACACCCGAAACCAGCGCGTTGCTGTCGAAACATACAATCATATATAGGCTGGTTTCTGAACATGGTGTGGAACTATCGGTTATGTTGTTAAGGGTATATACATAATAGCCATCTCCACTTGCGGAATGGAGAGTTACATTGATAGTAAGGTTTTCTGGGTATACTTCAGAGCGTGTCATTTTTATTTACGACAGCAATGCGAGAGGGTTGTGATATTCAATGACCCTGTTGTGAATATATCTATGATTTTAAGATCAAAGGCAGGCATATTGTATCTTTGTATATATATATATTAATGATCTTTAGCTGCTTGGTGTATTGTTTAAAATCTTTGTTTTTCGCATAAAACACGAATAGTTAAAGATCACCAAACTCCCATTCGTGTGTGTGTGCAATATGTGCGTGTATGCGCGTCAATATGTGTGTGTGTGCGTGTGGCACATTTGTCATCATAAAACACTTGAATCCAGTATTTTTATTATGTTCATAAAATAAATATTTTAAAAAAAGTTAATATCAACGATATTGGTTACACGTCGAGTGTCAAGTGTTGCGACTCGGTGTTTTCCAATATTACATAATATCCGTGCATTTGCATACATTGGGTAAACGCGAAGAACATCAACGGACGGAATATACAAAATCTTATTTAAAAGTTTTTGTAAGAACAATAGAGACGGAATTTAATGATAGAGGGATGTAAATGCAGCTGTTATCTTGACACGTTAAAAAAATTCGTATCTTATTTAAACTATATTTGGAGGGTAATCCTAAAAAATTTATTGGTGGTGGCTATTATGTCCAGCTGACGAATCAACACCGGGATTATCACCGGAGGAATTAAGAGTAAACCATATACTCAGGAGCCGGCCTTTATAATGTGGACATTATCTTGCAGGTGAACTTTGTAACGACGTTCGTCTAGAAATAGTTGAAGGTACTGCCGCTATTGTCCCATACAAAATATACGATGAACAACAGAGTTTACTATTAATACTGACTTGAGCCTGTCCACTTATATTCCTTGATGGACCTCTTGAAAAAATTACTATATAGAAGAATGGCACTGCAAAATTAACCATTTGTTTTATTTTCAGTTTACAATATAAATAATTCGGATCTATTCGATGCAGTTGAAGAAAAAATTTTTGCAAGCCTGGAAACAAAATATTCGTTCCATCATCCATTCATCTTGGGTAAAATACACCAGTTACCAACTATTACACTTTCCTGGAGGATTTACAGAAACTACAATTTATGCAATAAGTTGTATATTAAAAAAAAAATTTCTCTTTTTTTTTAGTGAGCTGATGTTTCTTTTACATTTGCAATTGAATTTATCATAAACTGGATATGTTTCAATACTCAGAAATATTAAAGTTTGTTACTTCGAATATTACTATTATTAAGATTGGAGTTGATTATAAAATAATTTTTAAAATAATTTTTTGATTTAAATTTTGATTTAATAATAAAAAAAAGAATAATAATACTATTTCAATATTATATAATTTTTAAAAATAAACAATTGATTAATTAAATTTAAATTACCATATTCTCCCGGTTATAAGCACCCCTTTTTAGGGGTTTATGTTGGATTTATTTTTGTGAGGGTGCTTATAATTGGAAGAAAATATTTTTTTAATAATTTGATTAGTATCGATCCAATTTGGATAAAAAAATATACCATTAAAAAGCTCTTATTGAGAGGAATCTAATGGTATGATTTTTATTAAAATCCAATCATTATATACTGAGATATATTAATTTTTGTATTTTTTTTAAGAGAATACAGTATTGAATCTAAAATTTCAATTTAAAATTTATTTTTCAATGATAAAAAACATTTAAATAATGTTTTTGATTTTGCATTTAAAATTATATAGATATTAAAAAAACCTAATCATTCATAACTAAAAAAAAATGATTATATAATAATACGTATAAACAAAAATTTAAATTATAAAGGCATGTTTTTTTTTTTTTTTTAAAGCAAAATTTATTTGCATTACTTTGATATGGATTAATAATAATAACGTGTTTTAATAATATTTTAAAAAATTGATATTTTTAAGTTGGTTATTTAAAATATCTTCGATTTATTATTGCAAAGTTCAAAGTTCACATGGTGATAATTTATATAAGATTTTTTTTCATTTTAATTGATTTTCAATTTTACAATAAATTTTAGATGAACCTTATTAAGAAAATGCTTTTTGCTTTTTTAGGTTATTAATGAATATTTGTTTTATAATTAAATAAATAGCAATAAAATGTTTTGATATTTATATAATTGAAAAAAATAGAATAAACCTTTAGTTTGTAATTTTGACAACATATAAATAATAATTACAAAAGTAGTGTTTTTTAAAATAAATAAATAAGGTAAATAGATATTAAAATTATATATATATATTTAATAATATTATAATAAGAGAATACTGATTTATTAAAAAAAGAATAAATATATTCGTCTTATACATACGTCTTTTCTTTTCATGTGTCCACGTGAAATGAGTATTGTAGGAAGATTCTACCATAAACATTCTATTATCATTCGAAAATCAATTGAAATTTCTTTTCTTTTTTTAATACACGACTATGGTGTTTGTATGATTACATTTTTTTAAAATTTCTGTTAATTTTCGATGAAAAATATCGACCTTTCCAACAGTGAAAACAAGCAGTTAGACTACACGGAGAAAGTAAAAAATTTTTTATTTATTATATTCGAATAAAAAAAATTACAGTATGAGGAAATGACTAGCCATTTTAAGTGGAACGAAAGGAATAATGAGTTTTTCGTTTAGGTGAACATATCCATGGATCTTTTTTTTGTGATATCGTCGTCTATTTACATCTAATGTAAAGGATGTTTCGCAGTCTTTAGATCAAATTTTCGTTAAACTTTTAACAGTTCTTAGTCGGCTAGAAAAAAAGTCATAGAATCACATTTTTTCATTTGGGATGAGCATAGTCATGCATATTTTTTTCGTGACGTCGTCTATTTACATCTAACGTAAAGGATGTTTTGCAGTCTTTGTATCGGCAGTACACTAGAGAATAAACCAAATGTTCATTAAACTTTTAAGTCGGCTCTTAATCGGCGAGGAAAAAAATCATAGACTCACGTTTTTCACCGGAATGAGATTGTATGTGGTTTTTTAGCTGACTCGGATAATTGAATAATTTTCTGTATTGAAGACATATGCGCTTATGAACGAGTTTACGGATATTTAGTATATTTAAGACTTCTTTGTCAATTAAACGGACAGAAGTAAGTTTGTTGCTATCATCAATACGGTAAACCATATAATATTGATTTAAAAAGTTTAAACTGATGTGATCCGTGTTTTCTGCTGCGCCCGGCGAGCTCAAGCTTTCTCGAATAATGTGTCCCGTGTCTTTATCTACACTCAACGAGTTCAAGCTTTCTCCAATGATGTGACTCGTGTCTTTTACATCTGTGTTTTCGGCTACATCCAACGAGCTCAAGCTTTCCCCAATGATGTGACCCACGTTTTCGTCGATAAAATTTAATGAATGCAATCCTTGTTCGACAAAATAACCCGTGTCGTCAACGAAGCTTGACGATTCCAGCCATCTTACATTGATATAATTTGATTTTTCGACAAAGTTTGGCGAGTTTAAGCTTTCTTCATTGAAGTAGTTTCCGTCATTGAATTGACTCGTATCTTCAACGAGGCTTGACAGCCTAAAGCCTCTTCTGGCGATATATCTCGTATTTTCAATGTCTATTAAGTTCAAACTTCTTCCGGTGACATATCCCTTGATAATACCCGAAGTCAGTGCGTTACTGTCGAGACATACAATCATATATAGGCTGGTTTCTGAACATGGTGTGGAATTATCGATGGTGTTGTTTAGGGTATATACACCATAGCCGTCTCCACTTGTGGAATGGAGAGTTATATCGATAATAATGTTTTCTGGATATACTTCAGAGAATGCCATTTTTATTTACGACAGCAATGCGAGAAGGTGGTAATCTTTAATGACCTTATTGTTTATATCTTTAATGACTTTATTGTGAATATATCTGTGATTTTAAGATCAAAGGCATAATTTATATGTTTTTTTTTTTTGTCTATGATTTGTATTTTCGCATAACATACTTTATGAAAAATCGCGATATGCTTATGTTTGATGTTTCCAAATAGGAAACTGCGTCATTGTAATACTGTATTTATTATTCTTAGGGCACCCGTAAACTTGCACTTTGACACATGCGCATTCATCCACTAAGATCAATAGATGTGATTGAACCGCCCGCAAAAGAAAGTTGATACACACCGTTATTATGCATAACAGTTGCATGGGTCATTTTTATCCAATCCCACAGAACCATTTCTCATACTGCCCTACACCCACAGAACGATAGAGAATGATAGAGGGATAGAAATGCACGTACTGAACTTTAGGCTTATTGTGTTTCTTATTTATCTATATTTGGAGGTGTTCTTTTTTTTTACCGAAAATGGGTGTCGCCACCCCCATTGGTTACGTATGACGTTATTACACTCCCCTACCAAAAATTACCGGATGTTGATCAAATTACTTAAAACATATTAAAAATCAAGATTTTCGTTCTATATTAAAGTTTTTAATTTTATTAACAAAGATTTATAAATAATACATAAAAACAAAGTCATTCAATTGTAGTTTGATATATATTTAATACAGAATTTTTTGAGCTTTCTATAAAAATCTACATATTTATAGAATCAATCAAAAAAATTTTTTTATATTTATTTTAAAAATTTATATATAAAAAATGCAATCTATTACTTTATAATATAATGTGATTTTTTAAAAAAATTTTAAAAATATTATTCCATATATATGTTAAAATACAATCAATTGCCTTTATTTTGGTATATTAAAAAAATTTTTTTATTAATAAAATTATAAACTTTAATATAGAACAAAAATTTTGATTTTTACTATGTTTTACTAAGTAATTTAATTGATGTCCAGTAATTTTTAGTAGGGGTGTGTATAATGCCACGTAATTTGTGAAAATCACTGGTCTAAATTAAAGTCTCGCTGAACTAATGTTCAATTTAATATAGCTTTAAATTTTAAATATGCAAATAATAAATATTTATTAACAACCTTTAAAAAATGAAAATTTTATTAATACAAAAAAACATATTTAATTATTTTTTTATTTAGATAAAAAATTTTTTAAAAAAATTATAAATTAAAAATAATATTTAAAAATAATGGTTATAAAAAATAATCAATAATAGTTATATGTTAGTAATTTGTTTTTTTAAAATTAAATTAATAAAATATGAATTTTTTTTTCTTATTAGATAAATAAAGTTCTTTATTAATGTTTTTTTTTGTATTTTCAAAAAATTCAATAACAAATTTTTTAAAACTAGATAATAATAAATTTTTATCTGTTAATGAAATAAATTATCAATAGCTGTTTTTTAATTTAATATTTTTTTTTTTTGATGTTAAGGTGAGACACTTCTCATGATCTTTATTGATAGAGTAAATATGTAATGTTACAT